TGGGTCATTCTAAGAAGAAATGTAATATATCTTTATAGTAAAAAACCTCATCTTGATCAACTTTTTCACTGTCAAAGTTTCCGGATATGATGTCATTAGGTGAATTTTTGGCACAAAAAACAAAGGAAAACTAATTTGCAATTCACCTAATGAGATCATATCCGCAAACTTTGGCAGTGAAAAAATTGATCAAGATGGGATTTTTTATTATCAAGATATAGTACATTTCGTCTTCGGATGACCCAAATATTACACATACCAAAAATCGTATTTGTGGTTAGTCGCACTTTAATTAATTAAAGACCATGTAAAGTCTGTTCTGCTCATACGTTCTGCGCAGGCTTAAATTCCAATGGTCGGGACACGACCGTTGGAATGTTATTAATATTTCGTATCTTTTGAACTTTCTTGAATTGAATCTCTAGTCTGTATTCATTTACAAGCATAGCGAACCAGAAGAGTGTCAAAAATTCAGGATGATATATATCTAATCATATTTTACAACTGTAGCACTGAGTTCAAAATGTAAACAAAGCGTTTGCTTACATTACGGACTTTACATGGTCTTTAAATAACACTCTTTGTCGAAAAATTGTTTTTTATGTATAATATATATAATAGTATAAAATATAAAATAATGAAAAATTGTAGCTACAACCTGGCAAAAATTATTGTGAAAAGCGCGCGCGGAAATAGAAATACCTGCCTTGCCCAATACATACGTGCAAAAACAACAATTCTTAACACCCGCTCCCCACGTTCAATGTCGAAAGCTTATAACTTGGTTAGGTCAAAGATTTGTGAAATGTATGTCAAAACCAACATTATACGGGGGAGCGGGGAAGACAAAGACGCCATGCAACATGTGCATGTGAACAGTGATACTCTAGTTCACGCCTAAGACTATAAGTGCAGTTCAGGGAATTTTTGCCATGATTGTAGTTTCCAAATCGGTCGTAATAAGGTCGGGAAAATTTCGTAAGTGGCGGATCATTACAAAAGAGATGGTGGGAGGGAATTTTCAGGGTGCACGAACTTTTTTTTGGCCATGTGCTTGTGCTGGAATTTTTTTGCCGAATTGTGCACGAAGGTATTTTTCTTTGCTTTCCCTCTTTGGACGATTTTTTCTTCTTTTTGTTTTCCTTTGTGCGAAT